TGCACTCACAAAATTGGTTGGTAAATTCAACGAGTGGGTGCATCGACCTGGTATATCAAGTTTCTGCAATTTTTTACGGCAAATCAGTAGATTTTCGGGATGTAGATTGCTTACTTTCAATTCATGAATGAATAAAGCAACGACATGGTTGAACTTCTTTGCATGGAAAGACGTTTAAAATAACAAAATCAAGACGTATTTAATGCAATTGCATTTATATCGAGTCAATTTCTTTTCAATAATATAACGGGATTTTTACTACCGGTGATTTGGGTATTTTAGCCCCAAAATACCTTTAAATCGACTTTATCTTCTAGGAGTTCGACAGAATTTTTCCTTTCTTCGCTTAAATTATTCCGTAGCACTTTTCTTCAAGAATCTGATAAGATTTTGCTTGAGGCAGATCAAAAAACTTAAATTCGATCGAATAGCTTTCTACTTTCACAATACACGGTCTCGTCAAGGTGCGTCTTTGACCTCGCAGTGTTGGATCGTGAATTCTCTTTTTATGCTGTTTGCCTATTTTGAAATCTCTGTAAATGAAAACTAAAGGGGTTGATATGTGCGAGTTAATGACGCGCCTTATCAACACATTGTGTTGGAGTTCACTGCTTGTTTTTTTGTTTCCTCTACCCCTTTCCCTCTTCCTCTTTCCTCTCCCTTTTCCTCTTCCCTCTTCCCTCTTCCGTTTCTTCTTCCCTTCCCCGTGGATTAGGGCTCTTGGCGACACCACGTTAAAAAAAAACGCGCCGTAAGCTCTACCTCCAGGAGCAGCACCGTATCCTCTACCTGATCGGACTTTCCTAAGGTGGTGTGGAAACGAGCTTGTCAAAATATGTTCCTTTATTCCTCTTCTGAGTAAGTAAAATCAAAACCTGAGAATCTTTTCATCAAGTGCTTTTTTATTTTTTTTATAGGGAGAGCATAAATTCAAAACCTGGCAAGTTCCCTTAGGTGTTGCTACGATTGAGCACCAGTTTCTATAAGGTCAAAGTTTATAGAACATTTCTTCACTAAAATTTAATGAAGGGAAGTATTCAGGTCCTTTTACGCTACGGAGCAAGATGCACAATTTTAGCAATACCGGATGACCATTTCCAGATTTTGAATTTCCACTCTTCACGTATCAATGGCTAAAGGCGAAAAAGTAAAACCTCAATTGTAACAAGGTGATTCGACGGTTGTCATTTTTTGTGTCAGAGCAACGTGCGATACATCGCATCAATTCGTTCCATAATTTTAGCTACTTGTCATTCGTTTCAAATTTTGAAATCGCACTTCTATTGTCATGAGACTAAAGAATTCATGTATCTAATTTCACAAAGGAATTCAATATATTAAAGGCGTGGGTTTTTTAGAGGAAAAATATCGCATTCGACTGCACTTTCGATATTAGTATCGAATGCTATATTTTTCTTAGTCTCCTTAGAATTCTTTAGTCTCATAATGACAACAGCAGTGCGATCTCAAAATTAAAAAAAAAATGATAAGTACCTTAAATTATGAAACGAATTGATGCGATATATCTTTCGTCGCTCTGGCAAAAAATAGCAACCGTCGAATCACCTTAAAAAACGTCCGACTCGATCTTAATCAAAGAAAACTAATTGAAATGTTTCATTGCAATTGGCTGTGATTTATTTAGAGAAAGCAATGAAAATATACAGAGAATTTCAATAGGATCTAATCGTTGGTTATCCTTGAAAACATTAAAAAACATTGAAGACTTTTATCATCGTAATCTGAAAAACGCATTTCCGATTTTTATCAATGCGTAACCGTCAATAGAAAGCGAAACATTAGTCGACGAAAACAAAATGTTTAGTGGAGCAATTTCTGTAGAGTTCCGTTGAATAATCAAAAATGGAGAATCCCACATATAATTTGGTTGAAAAATGAGAATCCCGCATATAATTTGAAGACATCTAAGAGCACAAAACAACGAATAATAATTTTATTTATTCATTATTTTCATGTTTCAGCTTTATTTTGTTCTCTGTGCAGAGGTGCGGTAGTGCTCTTCAAGCCACGCTCTGAATATTTTTTTGTAATGTTTCCGGGCTTGCTTGACGGAGTCTGGATCGGCAGGGTCAGCAGCTCTCAGATCCAGATGGTGGGCTGACTCCGGAATTATGACTGTGAAGATACTAGAGGATATGTCCTTCATAACTCCACCGCCGGACCATGGATCCAGTAAACCATTGCTGAAAAATTTAGGAGAATTATAGTGAGTTGAGAAATTTTTGAAGTTTTTGTCAGCTGTAGAAACTAGAATACCTGTATACGGGAGAGTATTGCCATCTCTGTGCCGCTCTTTATTGGCTCATCAGTTTCAGGCTATCATGGAGCTCCAAGGTTGGACCGATGTAAACAAACCCGACCCAGAGGAACACGTATTATCGGCTGAGAAATGAATGTTAATCACACTCGAAGCTTAATTTTCGGTAAAAATATTCAGCAAAGTTCGATTTTTAATGCAGTTCGTTTAGTTTTAGTTTTAAACCATGCAGATGAATACAAGGAAATATTTGTAGTACTTAGTTACGTTATATTTAAATACAATTTTTTTAAAAAAAAAACTGAATTCAGAAGTTGGATTTAAAAAAAAATTCTATCACACCCAAAATCACGTCTAGAACTTTGTACGAATTTTCCGCTGTCTCGTTTGTTTACATTGGGCCGAACTAGGAGTGGAGGGGCTGGGGTTTGTTAACACTGGTCCAACTTTGGGGCTCCATGATAGCCGACCAATCGGAGAGCGGCACACTTTTTCTGTGGTAAAAGGATTGAGATGGCAATACTTTCCCGCTCACAGGTACTCTAATAAAAACAGACCTAGAATATCGACGGTAAAACTGCCAATCCGCGTATAAAATCTCAGATTTTCTATTACTTTTTAAACGGAGACCGAATCAATGTCTTTCTCGAAGTTTACACAGATTTTTATAGTGCAGAGAAGAAAAATTATGGAAGTTTTTAAGCATTCACTGTGAGTAACTTTCCATTTGAAAAATAAAATATGACAGGATGAGACGTCGCAAACCAAGATACGTGGTTTCAGAGTTTCAACGTCGATATGCATACTGCCGTGCCAAGGAAGAGCGCGCCCGTAAGAGCCTTCAGACGTTGCCAAGTTTCCTCCGATAAAAACCGAATTTACTGAGAAAATTGTAAATATTATTTTCCAAAATTGTCAAACAATTTTCTACGCAATTCAAGTTTCCTCCGATAAAAACCGAATTTACTGAGAGAATTGTAAATATTATGTTCCAAAATTGTCAAACAATTTTGTACGCAATTCAATCTAAAATATCTGATAATTTCAAGGAAAAATGTGCTTGAATGTTGTTAAAAATACACGTTTTATCAAGGGAGATTTGGCAACTCTTGAATGTCCATACGGCCTTCTTCCTTAGCACGGCAGCATATGCAACGAAGATGGATTCCTCCAGGAATTTTGCGGGAACTGCTAGAGGAGTTTGGGGCGGTCCGTCATGATAGAGTGTGTCAGAGCATGGAAGTCGAAATTGACATCGTATTCAACGTAATAACCGAACATCTGGTCTGGTGGGATCCCACTAATATGATGACGGGAAAAAGACTACCAATTAATGGATTAGGTTCTTCCTGCAGGAGACGAAAAGGACGCCCAGGAAAAGGGTGTCAGCAGGGGATTTTGCGTGAAAAAAAAATCAAGTATCAGCTCCCTGAAGGATTTAGGCAGGATAGAGGTTGGCGGCGGTTGGGTGTCGTACATAGCGCCAGAGCGCACTTTGAAAGTAGCCCTTAAGTATTTATGCATGCACGAAACATTGAAAGTACAAGAAAAATGGGGGGGGGGGGAAATGACACAGAAAAACCTGAAAAATGGAGGGGTGTAAATTCAAAGAATCCTAAGTGTCATCGCATCGATGTCTAAGAAGTCAGAAAACAAGTTCCTCCTTTCCATTGCAAATTTGTTGGTCCGTGGTATTGTATTCATTATGGCATTTGCTTTTTATCCTATAATGGTTATTATGAGCTAAAAAAATCGACAAAAAATTTTACCTGAAAATGATGTTCTTGTGATCGTTAATGTTTTTGCCTCCGTAAAGTTTTTCAATTATTCTAGGATCAGGTTTCAGTTTATACTTATTGACGCAAGTGTCAGAATAATTCTGAAGATTCCATTCGTCTGGTTCGAACATGTCATTGACACCATCCGCACACATTGGCATCACCATTTCAGTGCATGACTGGAAAAAAAAATCATCCGGTAAGGACACTATTCATACTCATAGAATACCTATAAGTGTCGAAGAACTTGGAGAAAAAGTGCAACATAAAATTTTGCGGAGGTTCGTCTTGCAGCGCAGCGCTTTCGAAAAAATGCAGCCCTCGGACAATTCACTGAAAAAAAAATCTCGGTGTATTTACTAAGAAAAGGGTAAAATTACCAAGAATTCAGGGTTCTATTTGATCTCAGTTTTTTCTTAGTAAAATTACCATTTATGAAATTGGTAATTTTACCGAGAAATCTCGGTAAAACTATTGAACTTTCTCGGTAATTTTACTGGACCTTGGTAAAAACGCCAATATTTTTTATCGACTGTGGCAGAATTACCGAGATAAAATGGCAAAGTTACCGGAAATTGATTACCAATAAAAGTAGTATTCTTACCTCAAAAAAACAGTAAAAATACCGGTTTTTAGGTAAGCTTACCAGTTTGTCTTGGTAAAATTACCTATAATTGGTAAAAATAATGAGATGGTAAAGGTACCAACGGGCCTTGGTAAAAACGCCGAGAATTTTTTTTCAGTGTGAGGAATGCGTGTTGTAACAAACCTCCTTTCTCACTTTGTGTATCCCGAATATGTCACACCTGCAGCCGGATTGTTGAAACTTTAACTGACTATGTTGGCAAGATAAGACAAGACATAGCCCTATCTACACCGTGTAATATATCGATTTTCGATTCATGTCGTGCCGATATAAATTTAAACAATCAGGCCTATGATTATTTGAGCCTTTACATTTCTCGCTCAGATTCCTCGAGCATTAAAGCATTTTCAATTTTTTTTTCATCCACAAATTTTGAAAAAGTTCGCATTTGAGTTGATATCAAGCACACACATCGGCAGTGGAACTGCGAAAACGCATATATTTCGATCTGTAACGCTGCAGACTTCTTGTCATTAATTACCTTCGTAATGGGGAAAATACTAAACGTAATTTTTTCCCTCGTATATTCGTTACGTAGATTCGTACCTTATTGCATTTCTGTTTTTTTAACTTTTATTTATAAACAAAACTACAACGTATTAATTGTTTTTACATGAATTGCATTTCTGTGTGCAGAATAGTTTGTGAAAATTTCAAGCAATAGTGTTTGTTAATTGAAAGGCGTGGGACGAGGCTAAGAGGTGAAGTTTTTGAAAAAATTGATTTTTCATGAACTCAACTAAAACTAATTTGAAAGTATATTCTGCGAAAGATTCACGACTTAAATCCAATTTTAAAGCATCAAAAGTGCGTTAAAACTTCCTTTCCGCCATAAGGCTCCATGTGATTGCAAAAACTGCACTTATGCGCCTTGTCCTCCAAGCCCCTCAATCCTAGTTGATTAGAATATTACGCGAGCGGAGATTTCAAAACACCACAAACGGGATAGGCATTTTGTATCACACAGTGGATATGTAACGATAATAACGGCAGGCTTGAGGTTTCGCGATGTTGGCAGCCTAGTTTCGTGAAATTTGCCGCTTCATTTGCATATTACAAACAGCGATTGATGGTAGAACGTAGATGGCGAGAGACAAATGTTCCCCATCGCGTCGGCGTCGGTCAAGTGTGCAAGAAGCTGCTCAAACTTCCGGTGAACTTTCGAACTTGCCGATTGGAGCTCTCTGAACTTACATGAAGTACTTGGCTGTGTCCACAAACTCGCGAGTAAACACGCTGATTGATGTTTTTCCTCGGACTCGGGGCAGTGGACCTATGGAACGAGTGTCGGTGTTGCTTCATGCCCCTGTTTAAATCATTGCATCTGTACCACGGTCTTAAAGCGCACAGTAGGAGAGGCTAAATTTTCAAAATGTAGTTTTCCTCAAAATTTCACCGAATGCATTTTAATAGACTAGAGAAATATCCACTAAAACAGCAGAATTCGTCCTGTTTGCAGAATGGGAGGGTTATTGAAAGATACCAAGTACTAAAAAATCAATGTCATTTCCGACAAAAAAGCAGCACGTCAACAATATCCATTGAGTTCAGCGAGCATTGTATTACACAATGTCTAAAAGGTGGTAGCACTGTTTATTGGTATGTGGAGTGTAGCCAAGTGCTATAGAAATAATGTAACATTTTTTTTATACTTTCTGACCCTGACGATGAAGCGCTTACTTCGAAAAGCTTCGGTCAAATTTTATTAATGAAATGTAAGTTTTTTTAAAAAAATGTTACATTATTTCTAGCACTTGGCTATACTCCACATATGCTCCACATATCCATTGAGAGAGCTACACTTACTGCTGTCAAGATTTTTCGGTTTTCGGCCGCTCACGATGCGAAAACAATAGTTGAGCTATTCGCCAACTTTACAAATATATGCAATTATTGCGAGCCATGCTTCCCCTGGTAAAAATTGGCGATTGGAGCTGCGTTTCAAAATACCATAGGAGTTCTTACAGCCGACTAAAGAAGGCTATTGAAAATCATATAGCTGGCTGTAGAAAGCTGAGCAAATCATATAGCCAGGCTATACGAAGCTATAAAAAAGTATACAGTCGAGCTACAGTTCCTATCGCCGGGCTCTACACTTTATCGCCATTGGCTATATAAGGCTTGAAGAAATTGTGAAGAAATTCGTGTACTATGGAAATCATTAAGTTTGATACGGAACTACCTTAATATTTACAAAACACACATTATATTTTCCTTTAAAACATATTTTTCTTCATCAATTAAAATGAGAATAATCCATACAGAGTGTGCAAACATTTCAAAATTATGAGTTGAAAAACGCTGACTCCGCGAGATTAAATATTAGAGCCTAACACAAAGCGGAGCGGCGACGCTCTGGCGCCTACAAACCTAACAGGGATACTTCACGCATTGCGTAATGCGTGAAGTATCCCTGTTAGGTTTGTAGGCGCCAATGCGCGTTTAGCGCTCTTTGCCCGCCCGCCGCGCCGCAGCGTGCCACGGCGTCTGAAGCAACTATTTCACATCAGAGGTATTGCACTGTATCATAAGAAATTGAAGGCGCTCCAACATATTGAGAATGACAGGTATCCTTCAAAATTACGGAGCTTTCCTCGCAAAATAAATCAAGATACTACGGCACAAAAAGAGAGCGGTAGTCCAAAAACTAACTAAGTCCTAGTATCCGTATTTAGTAACGTTTAGCATAAACTTTATCGTCTGGCTATTGCTTAATCGCCATAGACTTTAAAAGGCTATAAGAAATTGTGCAGCCGGCTACAGAAGCTATGGGGAATCTTACAGCCGGCTATTCGTCTATAGTATTTTGGAACACAAATTCTACTGTCAATTTTTACCAGGGTCAATAAAAAAAATCCCCTTGCACATTGTTTTTTTATTAAAGAATGGCCTGAGTCGCAATTATTGCATATATTTTGTAAAGTCGGCTAATTGCTCGACCTTTGTTTTCGCTTACGGCTGTCTTGTGCAAAATAGTACCCTTTTATGCCGATGACGACTCAATTTGGGATTTACTGTTTATTTTTTGATGGAGTATCCAAGCAAGCATGTTGAGGATTGAGCATACAGCTGCCTCACGTGCAATACTCAATGCCTTTATTTTATATTCCACAGCAGAATTTATCAATGCTTCAATGCTTGACCATACAAACAATTAAATGTATGGACATAGTCTTGTGGGTGATTTTTGAAAATTTTACGAAACACGGAGGACGTATTTTTCCACCTGGTCCATTATCTGATAACTTTATTTTTGGACCCTCTGCTCGCATTGTAACACAGCAGTGCAGGAATTATTGTCCCTCTTCGAGGATTAATATTTTTTAATGTGAAATACGGATACAAAAAATATACTTAACGTACTTGGATATCCCAACCGGAATAACTGAGGCCAGCTGTATTATCATCTAGATCAACGTCTAAGCACTTCGTTTGCCCGGTGTAATTCGAGTAAACCGAAATGCCGCGGAAAAGTTTGTCCAAAAGCTCTAAATCTGGCACTGATGAGTCGTTCATATAACTGCACACAGCCTGAAAGCAGCAAAAAAATAATTTAATCATAAGGGTAGAGACTTAGAGAAACACGTGACGACGTGACGTGGATGAACGACGGACGGAAAGAGACACACATTTTAGGAAACACATCCATGTGATAGTGATTTCGATAAGTTGTGATTGGAACGGAGAACGTACCGCGACTTTATCAACGTCGATTTATTGCAATAGTATCCGATGGAAAATTGCGATAAATTGAGATTTCATCTCATAAACTTGCAATAAAATCGCGATTTTATCGAGGGCGTTTTATCGCAATACTATCGATCAAGAAATCGTGATAAATTGAGATGAAATTTCGATTTTATTGGAAGCAATTTCACATAGATAAAATTGCGACAAGATTGAAGATGATCGCTAAGATGTTGACTATTCTAGTGATTTTGTCGCGGTGTAATTCGTCAAAAATCGCAATTTAATTTCTAAATATTGAGATTTTTCCGTTGAAAAATGCTATTTGGGTAGAGCTTACTGAGATGATAATTTTCCGAAAATTCCCCAAAATTCGCTACATAGCTCGGTAGTCTTCTTGGTTATATTTTTGGCAAATTTAAATGTTGTGTAGGGCTGTCGCAAGAACGATTTCGTCAACGGCGCAAAAGCAAATTTACCCCTCCTCCGTTCAAAAACTTAGATGTGGCTAATCTTATTTATCACTTTTCACACATTTTGCTACTTGGCCCTCTTTCTTACTTTCCTAGCATCTAAAAACTGCAGACAAAAATTTTGGAGGGAATAATGACTATCACATTTGTATTGCCCAAAACTTGCGAGTCTTTGATATCATCGCATTTCGGTCTGATTCCCATGAAAATCCTCCTCAAAAAGTCTTTTAATAGAGAGAAGAGAGGATGCCGTAAGGAATTTTGGTGCCTCTCACTGGCGGATCAAGCAAATTGGCAACATCGTCTTTTTCCCATTTAAACTTATGGAAATGTATCGATTCTTAGAGAGGCCAGGTGTTTCGACAAGAATCGATTATTTAGCAAAGGTTTAAACGGAAGTAATCCGGTGTTGCCAAATTGTTGGATCCGCCTCTGGTGCCCCTGGAGTCGGGACCCCACGGAGTAACTTACTTTTTTAGCCTCTCACGATGGGCCTGTCGACAAAAAACTATTTCACTGTCAACGAGATAAAAGTGATGCCGCAATCAGACGCTGAATTTAGCAGCTGAATGTGGAAGTCAACAGTCATCGCCCAACGGCTGAAATTTAGCAAATTCGAGTTATTTTCATCCAGATGTGTATTAAATCTACTCGAATTGTTCAGACAAATTCAAAATTGGTCCGATGGTTGCTGAGAATCGTTGCTGAATTTTGCGCGTCACGCGCAAAATTCAGCCATCGGGCCGATGACTTCCACATTCAAGCCACATTCAGCTCCCACATTCAGCGTGTGATTGCGGTGTGACTTGGAATGGTTAACTAAGGACCTAAAAGGGAATTATCCCGTTCTCGTTTCCCGGAGATAATCCCTGGATAATCCCGCCCTTTTCAAATTTGAGTCACAAGGGTCCGCGAGGCGCCCCCTAGGGGCTTGGCAGCGTAACCGCCCCTAGTATAAAATTGCACTTACCTTCACGGGCCAGGCAGGTACCGGGGCGAGGAAATTTGTAGGGTACGGATAGTTTATCATAGCCAAATCAAAACAAGCTTCATTGATGTATGCTTTGAAAGTTTCTACATCCTTCGTGTTATTCAACTCTTTACACAGATTCCAGCTCTTCGAAAGCAAGCGCCTTCCATCCTCTGCAAAAAACATCAGAAATCCAAATTATTTTCCCGAGTCTTCATCAGAGTCAGTTATACAGGGTGATTCATAAGTTCCGCACCACCTCTATACTGCCATGCTAAGGAAAAACGCCGTATGAACCTTACAATACGTTAGCTGGGTTGCCGTGATTTCAGTTTTAGAGTCCCCAAATAAAGTGGCAGCCCTGTCAGTGTATTTGCTCCCTATCTTTGCATGGAGAGTTTGTCTTGATGTACAGGTGGATTCTCAGGATAGCGTGGGATATCCCTCCATTACAGCCTCAACTTTGAGAGCTTTTTTGAGCTTGGGAGTTGATTTCAGGGAAAACCAGTGGCACTATCATGTTTTCGCGAACTTTTACATAGATATCAATAGTCAGATCGCAAATGTTGATCGTGTTTGATTTTGGTTGAAGCTCTTCAGCTCAGTTAGTGAACTGGCGATAAATCTACTATGACGTTGTGGCAACATCAGGCTCCCACACCAAAACATTCCCTCGTGCAGGATTTTGGAAATTAATATCCAGGATTTGCATTGTTACAAAGCCGCGAGGCGTGATAAGAAGATGAAATCATACAGATATTTGCGGTCTCAACTCGGGAACTTCCGTCGGTGGCAAGGCGTGAATAATCGGCTATAAATGCTTCCCCATTTAAGGCTATGGTGAGGGATCTATTATTAAGGTATACTCCGCTAATCGACTCTTTTCCGTTGGTTTAATTAGCAGATCAATCGATGTATCGCAAAATGTGCTAAAATTGAGAGCATTTTCGTTTCCGATCGTTGAAAGTTGCAACTTGATGATGCTCACCATCAAGCGTTGGAAAAACCACACCTCGCCTCGTTATGCAGTTTACGAGATTGGAATTAGGAGATGTAGAGAATAGAGTGATAGGTGCGCTTTTCCACCAACAATCAAAAGAAAATCAATAGAGCTGCTATCAAGCCGTAACTGTTGGAGCCTTAATTCAAAATCGTTCAAATCGTTAAGTGCGGAACCAAGTATCTCCGTTTGCGACGTTGCAGATTTCTTATCATATTTCATTATTTTCGGAAAGCTATTGTACATAACGTTTTAAAAACTTCCTTGATTTTTCTTCTGTGTTAACGAGATATTCTGCATAAATTTCAAGTTACAAAGTTGGCTTTTTTCTATTCGAAAAAATAAAATGGGACTGGAAATTTTGACATTGAAAATACATTCAATTATATCAGTGCTCCAGAGTCAAAAGATACCTGACTCCATTTTAGTTATTCCGAGATATCAAGGAAAACCCGTGCGTCGGCCAAATTGATTCCAATGTCGCAATTATTGAAATTCCGTATATCTCATAACCGGCGTAAAATTGAGCTACCAAATTGTTTTCACTGACGGAAAAGTAATTGGAGATTCCCAAAACGACTTTAACTAGATTTGTTCAAAAATGTGAGAAGAAACTAATCGAACCCCCCTCGATTTTTCAGAAGGAGAGTCAGAATTAATTTCAGGGTTTAATATTGAATATAGAAGAACTAGATTTATAATGCTCTTCCTTTCAGAATATTGTAGTATTTTAATTATGAGATTATTGGATTATTGGATTATTAGGGATCTTTTGCTCTCGAGTACTGATATGTATATGTTACGGGTAATCTAGTCAAACCGGGTAATGTCGGCAATAATTGACATTACCCAGGCCGTTTTGGTTAGGTTAGGTTAGGTTAGGTTAGGTTAGGTTATAATACCCGCCATCCCACCCCTCAGTCGTCAGGGAGGGCCGCAGACGGGACCGGCTGGACCTAACCTAACATAACCTAACCTGACCTAACCTAACCTAACCTAACCTAACCTAACCAAAACGGCCTGGGTAATGTCAATTATTGCCGCCATTAACCGGGTAATGTCGACATTACCCGGTTTGACTAGATTACCCGTAACATATATATCTGAAGACGCTATTTCAGCAAAATGCATTGATGGGGTATTAACTCCACTTCTGGTTGTGTAATGGACAATTTTTGAAATTTATTGTATCCTTATTGACGCCAGGCAGCTGAGCAACTGGACTTTTCACACACTTAAAACTCTTATTGCGGTTGTAACAAAAATTCCAATAACTTTGACTCATCGTCAGACAGGGGCCCACACAATAATTGATCGCAGAGGTAATTAAATTTTATGACCTCGTGGTTAGCCAAATCACCAAATGTATCGGTAAAAATCGAGGGAAGTTATAATTCATAATAAATCCGTGGATGCCGTTTCGTTCCATGCTCCTGAGAATTCCGCGAGACTAAAACGACGCGATTGGAAGTTTGGAGCAGCTCCCAACGTTATTACAGTAAAGTCGGAAGACAATATTTCTTCCCGACCATTTGCAGAATCAACTTAGGCTCCATTGTCCTCCTCCCCTCGCCCCTCGTCGCTCCTCCCCGGTGAAAATGCATGCCCCTCCTCCTCGTCTATCATTTTACCCATTGTGCCTCATATTCGGGGAGAGCAAGAAGATAAAACTGAATTCATGTGCTGTCATCAATGCCAGGTGACAAAAGCTCCCTCTGGCGGGGAATCGCAAAATTTATTCTTTCCTCCACTCGCTTCATCGCAAAATTCCCACCGTCCCGCGCCGCAGGAATTTTGCGATGAGCTCTCTGAATTATGAGGATCTCAAAAACAGATTCTTTTTGTATTCCTTCTTCCTTCTATTTTCACTCATTTTCAAATTCATTTCTCCTTATTTACTTAATTTTTAGGTAGATGTCTTCAGCTCATCCTTTCATTATATTTACTAATTTACGTATATTCTATATCGACGGTGAAACTACCAAACCACGTATCTCGGTTTGCGACGTCGCAAACTTCCTGTCATACTTTATTTTTTAAATATAAAACTACTTAACGTCCAGTCTTGAAAAGTTCTGTGATTTTTCCTCTTCGTGCGGAGAAAATTCAGTGAAAATTTTAAGGAATGATATTGATTTGGTCTACTTCAAAAAAATAAAGTGTGAGCGTAGATTTTTAAACACCGCAAACGAGATACGTGGTTTGGTAGTTTCACCGTCGATATATCATTTACGAAAAAAGTTGCTGATCAAACGAAGGAGGTGCTAATAGACTGTGTGCAAAGGCGAGGCGTCAATGATCTACATAGTTATGGTAAATAATCAATTATTAGGGTGTTCGTTGCAAACACCTAGATCTTTTTCCATGGGTTTAAATAGCAGATGAATCGATATATCCCAAAGCACGCCACAACACTGACTGTGTGACGATACCTACATGATATGATATCACTCTATCTGCTTTTCTCTCCACACAGCAGTGACGAGGTGTGAATAATCGATTATCGATACTCCCCGTTTGAGGCTATGGTAGAGAATCGATTATGAAGTTGTTCGTTGCGAACACCCTTTTACCGATCCTTCTCTACAGGTTTAAATGGCAGATCGATCGATTTATCGCAAAACACGCCACGCCATTGCCACACAAAGATGTGTCAAATGCACGCTTAAGGATGTGAAGTCTTCAACGAGTAGAGTCGAATAAGAATTTGAGATCTTTCACCAATTTTTCGTTGAAAAGATTCGGTTTCGGATTAGCACTGGAATGTTGAATCAATATTTTTACTTTTTCCGACGTCTCTGCAGTCTGATTTTCCTCTTTCTCTTTTTTGTGAGAGGACAAATGAAAAATTTCTATATCCTTTGCCAGATCTATTTATGCATGGCCTCCTTGCGTGGGGTAGCAATGAATATGAATCATCTAATTTTTTGAAAAATGAAAACTTGCTCCAACCCGCAATGCAAGGCATTGAAAGGTCCACTTCTTGGGGCCGTCCGTACGTGACCGAAGTAGGGGGGGAGGGGCCATGACAAGCTCTCCTGAGAGCAAAAAGGCTGGAAAAAGTTTCTTAAAATTTGACTACATCTACTGATTTTCATCGATTTTCTGCGTTTTCCCCCCAAAAGGGGGGGGGGTACGCTAGGGATGACTTAATTTTTAGAGAGGGGGGCCTAGCAGTGGGTCAGTGACGGTTGGATACGGTGATCGGTGAAGGAGAAAGGTGTCAAAAAATTGAAAAAAATGGGTGACGTATTTATGGACGGCCCCCTTGTAGTCTCTCGTCAGCTGTCTCCCAGTTTTTCTCACGTCTAATATTTAGAAGGCTAATCACCCCACGACCCCACGTACCTACGCACGGCATACTTACCACTTTGCCCTTGCTTATCTATTATCGACCACGCCTTCCTGATGGTTGCGCTGCACTCTTTGTCTGCCATAGAAAACACATCCGTCACAATTTTAAAAGCAGTCGAACAAGGAGTCATCCCTTCAAATTGCCAAATTGGAGCTGAGGAAGCAAGGGACCTAAAATGATAAAGAATAGAAATTTTAAACACGGAATAAATACAACGAAAAAATTATCAAGGATGGAAGCACGTCAACCAATCTACCAATCTCGTAATTTCCAATCACTTTCCAAAAATTTTCGTGTTGGAAAAATTTTGCAGTCACCTTACAGATCTGATCACATGCAAAGATGGAAAAAATTACGAAAACTATAAAATTTTTGCTAAGTTTTACGGGTGTAGGATTCGTGAATAATGAATTTTTTAAAAAGAAAAAACATGTGTTTTTTTAGTAGGAATGGCCTGGTAAAAAGCGGTTACATGAGCTGGATTTCAAAATACCAGAGAAATGTCTAAAGCCGGCTATAGAAGACGATAGAAAACGATAGGAGATCCTACAGTCGGGCTTTACGGAGCGATGAAAAATAATGAAACCCGGGCATAGTTCTTGTCACTGGGCTATGAAGTTTATCGCTTGGCTCAAACTCTCATAGCTCTCGGCTATATCCTCATCGCCATCGACTATGAAAGGCTGTAAGAAATTGTATAGCTGGCTATAGGAAGCTATAGGTCTATGATCCCTTGGAGCACAGATCTCATAGCCGGCTTATAGGTCTATATGGTCTTTTGGAACACAGATCCTACATACAGCCAATTTTTACCAGAGTGTTTATTTAGACGTATTTATGCTAAAAGGAACTGTTGGATAGAGAGCCAAATGAATGAGAGGCTCCCCAATTAGCCAAAGTCGAGAGAGTTTCTGAAATAGTTCGCCTTCAGGTAGGCGGGTATGCAATACTTGCTCTCAAAGGTTCAAATAGTGGTATCACCGTTCACAGTCGGAGAGCTAAATGAATGAAGTGGTAGCCAGCGAGACAAAGTTGAGAGAGTTCCAAAATTAGTTCGCCTTCAGTCAGGTGGGTATGCAACACCGAAAAAAGAGTGAAGTCGATTTAACATCCTGGATGTAAAGAAAGTGTGCGAGAACTCACAAAGTGCTAAATTACCCACTACGGCAGTTAGTTTTACATCTTGACACTGCTAAAATTACTGCTGTAGGAGTTAATTCAGCATTTTGTAAGTTCTCGCACACTTTTTCTACATCCAGAATGTTAAATCAACTTCACTTTTTTTTCGGTGAATACGCGCTCTCAGAAGTTCGAATAGTGGTATCACCGTTTACTGCAGATAAGCCAAAGGAATACCTATATCGCTCACGGGCTGGTTCGAAACAGGCACTTTAACAGATTGCATCTTTTTGGATTACCAAATAGACGGATTTAGGTGAGATCAGTCCCGGTACATTTTGCGTTGCCTTATTGTTTCTAATGTTTTATTCTTTTTAAAGAGAGAGAACTAAACGCCCATAACTTTCCATGAATTCATCTCAGATTATGAAGAATATACTCCGTAACTGTTGCACGCAAACCCTGTGCACGTGGTTCCTTTTGGCATAAATACGTCAATTTGACCATAAATTTGATGTGAAAAAGAGCGGAAAAACGAACTTGCCCCAAAATCACAGCTGGATATTTCATACGGATCCAAGCGGAAAGCATACCTCCGTACGAACCTCCGAACGCGATCACGGGGCTGTTAACTTTGGTCTCACCCCAAATCTGGTAGATGACGTCAACAAAGTCAACCATAGCTTCGGTACTTGTGAGGTATCCCGAGTACTCCGGGGACTGAAACAAAGAGAGTATAGAATAAATGTGAAATCATTCAGCACTGAGAAAAAAGCAATGTAGGAACATAACGTCGTTGCTGAATTTCTGTTGATAAAAGAACAATGTTTCTTGATAATTATGTGAGTTAATATTTAACTATTTCATAGAATTTCAGTCATAATTGGTCAATTGCACTGATCGCAGAATCGTGTTTTGATACTAAGCTAAGATCTGTCCAAACAGCAACTTTCTACGTTCAATATTAACTGAGATATCGCCCTTTGAAAAGGCGGGTTCTTGACGTTGGCGGTGGTGACACCCTTGGTTACCTCTACTTTGCTTTCATCCGAGTTTAACGATAAATATAATCAGTGCAAATTTCGTCACACTGACTGATAAAAGCGAGGTGGAAGAAACCAATGGTGTCAGTACCACGGCGGATGAAGTCAAAAACCTGACTTTTCAAGGGGCGATACATCGGTTAATATTGGACGTACAAAGTTGCTGTTTGAACGGATCTTATTGTTTTTAGCTAATCTACAAGATTTAAGCAACAACTACGATTCTATGTCCAGCGCAACTAACCCATTCCTTCCATTGTCAGTAAGTTCTAAAGAAAAGTATCCATATAGGGTGATCCAAAAGTCCCACTCCACTCTTATAACCCATTGGGTTCTTGCCCAACCTCGAGCTCAAGTTGATCCCTTTAAAATTTTTGGGAGCCCCATAATTTTGTTATCATTGACCAAGGTGCACCTACAAAACTTTGAGTCTGAATTTCAATTTGTTTAAAAAAAATTACGGGGCAGTGGCGATGCGTACCTAAATTATCGATTTCCGATATTAGAATCAAGTTTTAAGGTATTCGTTGCGAACACCCTGCTATGCTCTTTTAAGAGGTAAAATTTTCGCTCTTGAGTAGAAAACGAAAAAGAAATTAATAGTGAAGCAGAAAATATTCGGAATCGAAACGATTGTTTCCTTCCGGCACTAAATCACTTTAAGGATACTCCCATCCGCTTCAAATCTGTCGAAAAGGCATGGAACTGCCAGAGAGGACTCGAGTTAGGTTAGATTGGGTCACGCAACTAAATTAACTTCGCGGTAACACGAGAGGTATCACACGGAAATGAAGGCGCGTCACTATGGAATCGCGTAGATTTCTCATGTAGCTACAATCAACGGAGGGTTTCAAGTCTCTCTCCTTATCTGTTTGGTACACTCAGTACATGTGTACAATAAGCAAATCGATGGATAAAGTCAATCATTGCGCAACTTCGATTTTGACTTTGCAAATCTTTCTTACAAGTGTTACAAGAGCGATTCCAAGTACTGGAGACTTTTGGATCATCCTGTGTAGTCTTTTATCTCGAAAAAAATTATATTGCCAATCAAACGATGATATATTTTGAATATTTATTCAGCTGGTTTTTTTAAATAGGCGTTTTTTGTTTTTTTTTAGCAAAATAATGGATTTTTCAAACATGTCAATTATTTAGAATTGCCGATGATGACGCCCACATGAATAACAATCACCACAAATAGTATCGGTGAAAAATGAACAATATTGTACCAACTCTGTAATTGAAAATACAAGACTAACGCGGAACGCATAACACAAAGATGTGAAGCGCTTTGGGAGGTTGGACCGCGAAGCTATCAGGGGGCGTGCTTCTTCGTTATCATTCAACTGTGAAGTATATTATTTAATTGATCACTTCATTATATGATTTTCTTTAAAGGCCAACAAAAAGCAACCTTGGCAAGCAACCACTGATTATCATTTTAACAATCTTCATCGTCGAGAGACTTTAAATTAAATAGGTATTTAATCAAAGGGAGAAGGAACGCTTTCACAAACCGATCTCCAAGCTATTCATCTGTGAAATTTAATCACAGGGAGGTGTTTTAAATCGTTGATCAGTTCTCTAACTGAATGCAACTTTTATTTGATCGTGTTATTTTCCAGCGTTGAATTGGATTTTTGCCACTCCAGTGCTTCTTCAGATGCCACTTTGATGTTCACTGAAAGAGTGTTGATGTGAAAAAGCCATGGGAGTTTACTGCGCGAACAGCTTGTAGTACTAGACCGTGACGATGGAATTTTGCACGTAATTTCAAACTTATTTTCCCTAAATATTTTCAAATAATTATTCAACTAAAGTGTTGATTCTGCCACTTGCCACATTAAATGACGGTGTTATTGCATTTTTCCCCTTTTTCGCTATTATTCGGTCGACATCATAATAGGCTTACCAGCATATTTTCCAAATTTTAGAAAATCCGAAATACCTGGAACACAGATTTTCAAAAGTTGTCGTGATGTAGAGGGCAAAATGCCTTTGTCTTTACATGTACCACGCGCGACGCGAGAAGACCGGAATCATTTGCGAAACGTATTTGCAGTTTCGAAAACACATGGATCCTTATTAAAAAGTTCAAACTAACTTTTTGCTCTTAAAAATTGGAATTTGGGAGCGTACTTTTCACAGAATATGCAGTAAGACTAGTTTTACTTGAAATCATGAATATCTCAATTTTTTCAAAAACTGCATTTATGCGCCTTGTCTTCCAAGCCCCTCAATTGTCATCTAATTTCCGACAATGCGAGCTTCCTTCAATTAACAAAAGAACTGTACTCAAAACATGCGTTTAGAGCATGTATTTTTCTCTCACAAGAACTACAATCAAATAACTTTAAGAAGTACCTTTGGGAACGGACGGCACGAGGTAACACTGCTAATTAGCTAACCTTACATTTCGCACCCTTTTGTTTCTATGACCTTACGCTGTTCGGTTGCCAGGCTGCATCTTTCAACTCTGCGACTTACCAGGATGTATTTTTGTATATCAGTGACGAAAGTCGAAAAAAGTGTCGCTCCGGCTAGATCATACAAATCGCTGCTCAAGTTTTATTTTCCTCAAAGAAAAAACCAACCAAAATCTCCTCTTTTGTGAATTTTCCTCTCTAACTAGGAAATGCTCAAGATAATTTTCAAGAGGACATTTAGTCGTAGTATTTTGAAAATTACATTTTAATCGGACATTTTAAACGGTGCAATGGCAATACATTTTTTCTGACTTTAGTCATCGGTATGTTGCCTCTTGGCATGACTCATTGTTAAATTGTAAAAGCTTATTCTAAGCTTACGAAGCTTTTCCCGTCGTTTTTTTTCTTTTTTTTTCAATTTTACCATCGTTCAGATCGAGGAAAACTATGAGGAACATTTCACAGGTGTCAAATTCGCGGTGAATTCAGGAACCCTGCCCGAGCGTGCGATTATTTCTCTGAAATGGCAACAGTTTGTCGCCGCGATTGCTCGTCAAAAAAATTGCACGTTTGGCGCCGCCATCACCAGTTTATCCTGGGACCTGTGATGTGATTCCACCGCTTCCGCTAAAAGCCATGTCAGCGGAAAAGCATAAATCAATTCTTCGATTTATTCCCTCAGTTGGGAAAGCTTCTTAGAACCATTTGTTGTAGGGACTCAACAACCAGATAATGCTCTCGCATTTGTTTTTGCTCGTGCCATAAGTTTCGTTTTGGTCTCTTGCCAAATTTTGTGACCGCGTGGAGTGCGGTTCCGCTCACTACTTTGCGGAGCTCAATGTTATAAAAGTCTCCGCCGGAAATATCGATCTCTAATCGACAGTCGTGTCTATGCTTTTCACTTTTGTCTTTGAAAACTTTTCAGCTGTCAATTTTGAACATTCATCCCTACTTTATGATGTCCGTTTTGCAGTATGACTTTTAAAGTCCTCAAGAAAGCGAATTACTTCAGCAATACCGTTCGATTGTGTATACATTTGGAAGAACGTATGATTTTTCCATGCTTTGATTAAACCAAGAACGGATGTATATAAACCTATTCATGAAAAAACAACAATAAAAACGTGGGAAACATCATCAAATCAAAAGTGATGTTAATTTAATATTCTGGATGTAAAGAATGTATGCGAGAACTCACAAAAATGCCGAAATACCCACCACAGCAGTTAGTTTCACATCTTGAAATTGCTGAGGTAACTGATGTAGCGGATAATTCAGCGTTTTGTGAGTGCTCGCATACTTTTCTTACATCCAGAATGTAAGATCGTAACTTCACTCTTTTGGGTGAAGACTAAAACACTAAATCAACATAGAACGTTTCGCGGGGTCACAAATCACTCCTTTTTTTTCCTTGGCACTGATTACGCGGTTTTATTTTAATATGTGATTTTTTTTCTTATTTTTTACTTTTTTAAATTTTTCCGACACTTGATAATGACAAGGGTCACCAGCCGAAACGACCTATGTTAATTTGTTGTTTTAGTCTTGTTTTCCACGTTTTTTGTTTTTTGTACTTATCATGCCATGCTTTCGGGCTACATGCCACAACTAAAGTTTCTAAGCTATTCATAAATATCGTTTTGTTGAAGAACGCCTCCACTTTTGCCGGATGACAACAGATCATATCGTTTCATAATATTGACATGATGGGCATGGTTTGTTAGACAGGGTCGCCGCTGGAAGTATCGATTTTTGATCGAGTGTTGAGTTTCTGTCACCAGTCTTTTCCTCAAGAAAATGAATTACTGTAACAGCACTAATACTTACCTAAAGTTTATTATATTTTATCAATATAATCAACATGATTCATATAAATTATATAAAGTTGAAAAACGTATATATCCTAGAAATTGATTGTGCGTATAAATTATGTATAAACCTGTTCGTAGCCATCGATCTTTTAAATTGCACCTTCAATTTTGCTATGTAGGCAGCAAGCCTATCGGATGGCACAAACAGTTATCTATTTGAAGAACATGCATTAATATTGCTCTCAAACTTGATTGACTCAAAATACGATTAATAAATCCGTTGAAAGATACGGCTCACTTAAATTCCGCCTTCGATTTTGCTACTAAACAACCCACTTACTGAAGTGTATGATTCCCTACCCTGGAGTACTAATATCTGGTCACAAAAAATCACGTTTAAAGTTGATCCACGATTTGATTCAATAACAGTATTTATGCACACATTTTGAAGTCTCTTCTCAAAAATTATCCTGAGGTAAAATCAAATGCAGTGAATATACTGACAAGAGGCCACTGATTGAGGGATAGTTTCCTAAGACTTACCGAAAATGAATTGTCTCCGAATGGCATTGACTTGCCATAGTATCGATGCTCAGCAAAGACCAGCATAGCTCTGAACTCTGCTGCAATATCCCACATGAAGCCCTGAAAATAGTTAGAGGGACGAAATTAATTTCAATAAGCTAGACAATGGCATGACAAAATGACGAATTAATGTAGAGAACAAACTTTGAAACATTGCCTGGATACTGATGATCTCCCCAAAACTGAGGCGTATTTTAGTTTAGCTCAACAATGGAAATTTTTATTTTAATTGCATGCATGTAACAAGTAAGTACAATTGATTACCTATTTTTTAATGTCCGTCTACATAGGCGAGCTTTCAGAGAAGGTCTGAACTGACATGTTTCTTAACCCTGATTTTTCCTCAACATGTCGTAAAAAACAACAGATATGATAAACAATTCCAAAAATCACCTCCTGGACTGAAAACGTTTCGTAAGTGTGACATGAGATGATATGCACAAAGATGTAATTCTTTATTTAAAGAGGGTCCCCTATTTCCGGCCGTTACGCGAACTAACTCCAAAAGAATACGTCCTTCTTGTTAAAAAAATAAATAAAACTAAACGGGAATTATTTAAAATTTTAAACACAGCGAATACAGCTACATATCATTACCCGAGCCAAAAATCATGAGAATCTGATTAGTAGATCTAAAGATATTGACTTTTTAGTCGTCTTTAAGTACCCACCGTAATACCTAATTTTTGAAAGAGTAAATGACATTGAGTTTCTTGAGAACAGGGCTAAAAAGTTTGAAAAACAATTCATGCGTCATTTTTTTCAAGTCCAACATATTTAAATCCAAGGATATGACTTTGAGAAAAGTTACAAATGGAAAGAGGAAGAGCATGCATTGATAAGGGTGTGCATTCAACGAAATGTCACGGGTCATCAAAATTCTGCATTATTTTGAAATCAAAAAGTTAATACTTAAAAATTAGAATCAATATTTAAACGTCTAAAAATTTGTCCCATTATAAATCAAAAACTTGATTTTTCTTCCTTTCCCTGCAATTTTATTTTTTTAATTTTGGCACGAAATGTAGATATTTTCGTATTTATTCACTAGTACCGATTATTCATATTTGAAAATAAGAATAAGTATTGTGATATTGTTAAAGTCGTTGGATACTACAATGCGCTGGAAAATTTGTTTTTCAATTATTATTCCTCATAGAGCCTTAAAAATCAAGAGTGAATCTTCTAGACGGAAGGAATCTAAATGCAGATTACCCTTATCACCCACCTCCCAACTCGCTCACAAAAACAGACGGAGCAACTCTGCTGTGATAAGGTAAAACGCCGTATGAAAATTCGAGAGTTGCCAAATTTCACTGGATAAAATATTTACTTTTGTAGAAAGTTATCTATATTTTCCCTTGAAATTTTTAGATATTTTAGATTAAATATCAAGCAAAATAGTCTGAGAAGTTTGAAGAAAAATATTAACAATTTTTCAAGTAAATTCGTTTTTCATTGTTGGAAACGTGGCAGGGTCTGCAGGCCCATACGGCATTCTTCCTTGGCACGGGGGACTGGAAGTTGGCCCCAACGGAGCGCAATTTTTCGAAGTTTTTTCGTCGGGAACACATTAAACACGAGTTATCTCACCCGGCGTGACGTTGGCTCCACTGGGAACTTGAAAAAATATCCTGGTTTTAATAAATCTTGATTAAAGCTCAAATTTCAGGCCTTGATGTCTGCTTCCTCGAGATGATATCGGATGCAATTTTGTTAGTCAAAGCGCCCAGATAATCAAGTGCGCAACTTCCATTGAAAGGCTCTTAATTTAATTTTGTCGTCGACGAAAAGAAAACTTGGCCCGAGAGTTCGGTTGCTTAAAACTTAGTCTCTAGCATTAATTAAGGAGCTCCATTATTCGGCACACCTGTAAACACGACTTACCCTTGTTGTCTTGCCCAAGGGGATACTTGCGTCTAGCGCAGTTGCGCGAATGTATTTTGATCGAGTTGAAAGGGGGTTGAATAGGAGCCGATTCCTTGAATGTGTGCAAGAATCTAGACATTGCGACTATGCTGCTACACATGCAAGCTTATATGGAGGTAGCGGAAACGCAAATCATATTGATAATCAAATGTTTGCGATTGAACTTAGGAAATAATAAGGACACACCAGCGGTATTAAACCAATGCGTGAACACCGTGAAATTAGCGATGTTTAAAAATCTCCGCTCCCACTTCATTTTTTTTAAAACTAGAACAAATCAATTTCATTCCTTGAGGTTTTCATAGAGTTTCCTTCGCACAGAGAAAAAAAAATCACGGAAGTATTCAATAATTGCCATTGAATAGTTTTGCTGCAATTGAAGTCCTGTTGCCTGAAGTCAATGATTCGCCTTCATATGGCCGGGTATGCAAAATGACTGCCATGACGCACGAATAGTGGTATCAGAATTTTGCATTAAGTTTACGGATTGATTTGAAGGCGCTCTCCTGCATCCATTGTGAGCGGCCTTGTTCAATGATGTTGACCAATAAGAACATTATTCGAAAAATGCCGAGCAATATTATTTTGAAAAAATAATAAGATTGTTTCTGGTCTCTACATTTTTTCAAAGAAGAGAGCGCAGACGGCTGGATCAGATTGTGTATTTTAAGTCCCTTGGTTCGGTCATCGTAATCTGAAGCGAAACTGAAAGAGTCGCCGTAGACAAGATCGCAACTTACTAAAAAGCGGTTGTGTATTTAAAAAGTTTCGCACGGATAAAATGAGCTTTCTTTGATTAATTGTGAAAGATCAAAATTGAAGAAAAGGTACTTAGTCCACTGGTCCATTTGGAAAGCGTAAAGCATGGATGGATGGAGCATCGATGACCAACTAAATCTTATCTGATAAGGAATTTTAAGTGTGAAACCCTTTTTTCAATCTTTAAATGAGCCTAATCCACCAACAAGTTTAAAACACTAATTGCAAAAATGCGTATCTCCTTATGAAGTGTCAATTCTTAGTGCCAAAAACGCGAATCTCGGCATTTTTGCCGTATTTTCTAACAGTTCGAGAAATTATTGAAACTGCTGATGGAGTTTGAAAAAACATCTTATTCTTGCTATCCCCAAGAATTATTACCCTTCTACCGACAATAAAGAGGAATGCAGACAGTTTTTTTACTCTCCTGGAAAATCGTGTTTTCCGAGATTTGCACTTCTGCACTTTCACCATCGATAAAGTGCTTTAGTATTGTTTAATTAACATTTGCACAGGCAGTGATTGTTAGGTGTGATTGTTTAGTCAGTAATTTTTTTTCTCATTACATAATTTCTTCACAAACATTCTCAGGTATATATGTTGCAGGCAATTAGCAATCGCCGGCAAATTGCAATCTATTCGAGTTAAATCGATTTAAAGTGAAAAAAAAAAGATTGGAAGATTAGGGATTATTATGCTTTGAATTCATACATACGTTCTTCCGTTCTTCCCCTTCTTCTTGGATACATGTTGCCATCTAGCACACTCGCGAGTTCGTGAAATGTCATCAATAATCTGTGTTAGGTTCGGTTAAGCAACTAAACTAACTCCTTGGCAAAGCGGAGAGTTTCACTGGATTTGAAGGCGTAAAGAAATCTTTATTACATCGACGTTATCGTAATTATAATTTGACGAATTGACAAGTACGGAGCTTGCGGTGATAGGTCAAAATGTCCAAAAAAAAATGTCCAACAAGCAAGAATGTCCAGAGTTGAGAATGTCCCTATTTTACAAATGTCCAAGTATCTGAAATGTCCAATACTGGTTCTTTGGCCAAACACAAAAATGCCCAAAAGTCCATTTATTTTTGTTTCTAGATATTCTTCATTCTTGATCACTTTCCTCATTATTCTCGTCTTCGGGCTCGTTGGAAACTCGATTGTAATAGGCAATGCCCCTTAGGTACCGTGGAATGTCATCTTCATCTTTGAATTCTTGATAGCGTTGGACGCGCTGTAGGCTGCTTTTTAGTTTTCACCAATTAGTTTAGTTTAGAATCATAAAAAAATCACAAATTGTAAAATTTTGCCCCTGTAATTGGTTTTACCGCATTTTTTAACAACGAAAATTTTACAAAAGCCAAAAAGTTTCACAACTGAGTTTAGTTCAAGAAAAAAAGATTCTCAAATCTTCCCCGTCGTCTCCATGGATTCGAATTTATTTAGTATTCAAGCCGACAATGTCGCCACCTTCTAATTTTTTTGCAAAGGGAATGGACTTTTGGGCATTTTTGTGTTTGGCCAAAAAACCAGTATTGGACATTTAAGATACTTTGACATTTTTACAATATGGACATTCTCAACTCTGGACATTCTTGCTTGTTGGACATTTTTTTTTGGACATTTTGACCTATCACCGAGCTTGCAAATTGCCGGCGATTGCTGACTCCCTGCGGCTTATACACTGATAAAGACTTCAGAGATATTTATATCCATCTTTAAGTTTACATGTACTTTTCTCTCTTCTAATCAGCATGTGTTTTTCTTTTTTGTTTCTGGTGCATCCCTCGGAATTCTTGGATTCAAAAATCGATGATCTTCCTGGATAACGCAAATCGTCAATTAAAAAATTGGGATCGGTCAATTAAACGGGACACTTGATTCACTCAACTGAATCTTTAAATTAACTGGAAACTCAAATTTACCACAAATCCTACTCAACCGAAAACCTGATCTAACCCTGCTAACCAAAACTTTACTCAACCGGTGATCTTACCCACCGGAAACTCAAATCAATCGACCAATCGTCCGGCCGAATTTTACTTAACCGGAAATCGACAACCGTAAACTCTGCTCGACCGGAATTGTGCTTCAATCGAAAACTTGACCCAACTGGAAATTCAATCCAATCTGAAATCTGACCCATCCCAAAATTCCAATTCACTGGAATCGTAATCCATCCGTAGGTATATGACGTGACCGGAAATTAACCCAACTGGAAACTGTTTCCAACCGGTAACGTCTCCCGGTCGAAAATTTGACTCGACTGAAAATTTGATTCGATTGGAAATCTGACCGACCGGAAACTCCAATCAACGGGATTCGTTATCCACCCGAAATTTCACTTGACCGGAAATCGAAAAGCTTTAATTTATACTTTACCGGAGACGTGCTCCAATCGAAAACTTGACTCAACTGGAAATCGACCCGACCGGAAAGGTGTTCAAACCCAAAATTTGATTGTTCTCGGATGGAGAATAACCAATATCAATACCAATATATCATTTATTTTCCTAAAAAAATTGCAAAAATTCGATATAAGCAATTGATATACCGACACGTTAACGTTAAAAATCGATTGTCGATTTTCCGTAAAGAATCTTAAAAAATCGATATAACCGATCGATATATCGACTCGTCAACGTTAAAACTCGATTTTGCGTGTAAAAATACGTAGGAACCGGTGTGTATAACATATGTAAACAACGATAACAACCCCGTAGACACATCAATTCAACAAGAAAATAGCAAAAAATAAGACCGGAGGTCGACCCATTCCCCCCCCAATAACTCGAAAACGGTTCCTGTACTCATCTTGAAATTTTTTCCTGAGTTTTCTGTTATTATAAGCTTCCACTTAAAACTTGGTTCCATCGTCGAATCGAATATCGAAAAAGGGGCGAAATTTTGGGAGGCTCTTTCCTTCGATATAATGTTTATTTTTGCGGAACGTTATGAATATTTTTCCTCGAAATTTTCAGGAACTTCAGGTTAAACTGCGCACAAAATTATTTGAAAAATTGGACGGTAAATTTTTACAAGATCAAAAATGTAGCGACGCCTGACGGTTCATACGACGTTTTTCCTTATTAGTATGGTAGGCTTGCCAAGATGTACTCTCTGTTTGAATAACTTCATCAATGTTTACATTACCAAGAACTTCTGGACGTGGTTTCTTTTATTAATATCATCACTTCCGAATTCCTTGGGGGCCTTTGGTTGTCTGCAGTTTCAAAAATAAACTGTGCAATTTTCTTCTGATCGAAACTAGTAGTGAAAGGAACGTCCACTAGCAGAGAAAAAAAACAATCACGATCACGTTCACGAAATCACGTTCTTGCGGAATATATTAAATTAATCGAAGGAATCGTGCGGCAAAATGAGGAAAACTCACCGTATTCCGGGCAAACAATTCGATGTCTCCCTCATTTCCGGTGTAGAAAAATATGGGGCCTTTCCGTCTGCTCCAAAAGGTGTCGTTGACTAAGTATCGTAGCTTGAACGTCGCATTCTTGGAGAAGTCAAAATGTGAGACCTGAAATGAGTAAACAAAAATATTGCCTAATTTAATAGATGCTATAATATTGATGGCATCGTTAGAGGATGGGCAGCAGATGAAAAGCTGCGCGATGTACAAGTACTTAGGAAATCGGCTCACACAAATGAAAAGGCCGATCCAGATATTCTACCGTGCTAAGGAAAAACATCGTAATGAGAGTTGCCAAACGTTATCTAATAAAATGTTTATTTTTGATGAGAATTTTGAATATTTCCTCTTGAAAGCTCCTTCTTTTTCAAGCATCCCTTATAATGTAAAATGTGACGAAATAAACATCAAAACTTGCAGTTTTAGTAACAAAATTCATGTCCGACCTCTCTATTTGACTCGACTGGAAAAGTTGGAGTGTACTCTTGCTCAGATCAAATCTCAAGACTCTTCCACGGTCCGTGCCCCCCCCCTCCCCAAGGGGGGGGGGAGGGTTGGCACCCGTCGGGGCTGCAATGATTCGCTAATAATCTCTCACTAGATAATCTGCACAGCTCAACAGGATGAGTGGGTGCAGGTTACGAACGTTTTAATAACGCTCCACTAATTGTTTCATGCATATTCAACCCGGATTTGGGGGGCGGTGGGCGGCGAAAATTCGTTTAAAATGATAACCGCATGCTCAAACGGCGCTGCCAGCGATTGTTCAAAATTTCGCCTCTCGTGAATTGTTTCTTGGCGAGAATTCGGAGATGTCGGAACGAAATGGCGATACTACGCTCTACTTCCAACATCAGTACCAAACAGTGCTTAAAAATCAGCTTTTTTCCCCGCTTAGACCAATGTAAAATGTCCACATTTTATCGCCTAACATGGCAACCTTCACGTCTAGGCTCCTCATTCATCAATGTCGCTCCTCAGCGCTCAACTGCGGAGCGTCATTCATCCACGGGACCAGACTTGCCAGAATATCCTGAAATCCTCCTGTACCATCAAATAAAAAACATGAAGGCTACTCTAATAAGTTTCCAAAAGTTGCGCAAAGGGGGTATTTTTTTGGCCCTATGGAATCTTATTCAAATAAGCAATCAAATCTTATTCAAATAGGCATTTCAAATAAGTTACCGGAAGTGATATCGGAGATTCAGAAACTTGGAGTGGATGTCGCTGTTCTTACTGAGACCAAGAAAAAAGGGCACGGGTCAGAGAATTACGGTGACTATGATCTATTCTACAGCGGCGTAGCCAAAGATCAGCGTGCTCAGCAAGGAGTAGCAATACTTTTGCGGAGAAGCCTACGTAAGTTCGTGGGCACTTGGGAGGCCGTCAACCAGCGCATTATCAAAATGAACCTTAACCT